TTCACCAACAGGTTAACAATCTTATCATAAAGTTCTTCTAACTTTGAATGCGTGTTCTGGAGCAAATGATTCTTGGAATTAATCATGATCCAATCCAGTTGACTCTTCTCTAACGCCGAATCCAGAACTCCACATACTTAAAACTTTCTGTCTCAATGGTTTTCTCGCTTTCACAGCTTTCTGCATCTTGTACCAATTGTTATCGCTCCGTGTCAGATAAGTTTGGCACAAAATCGGTGGAATTTCCAAAACCAAAACGTTACCTAACGACATAAAACTCAGTATCGCGTTCTACGTTAGTTTGATCTTAAACTTGTCTAATAGTGATTTGATCACAAAGATTGCCAGAGAAACTATGACGAGTTTTTATACTTTGCAAAAATAACATTTTAAAGTATAAAAGACATTCAATCGGATATGATATGCCATGATAAGACGTTGACAATCTCAATTTCTTTATCTATTATTTTTTAAATGGCAACTTTAATTACATCCTACAGTGGTACCAATTTTCCGTTTTGAAAAAAAAAGTACAAATTCCACGTGTTTTATTTTATATACAAAACAATATTAAAATGTTGCTCTGGTTAGATTTGAATTACGTGGGAACGTAGATTGGTTTAAACAACGATATAAATTCTCCACAACTATGGCAATACGTATAAACTTACATTCTCGTTATACAGAGTAAGTGAAGCTAGTATGCATGTACATCTAGCGTAAACTTTGCTTAGAAATTCAAACTATTTGCATTTATATGCATATGAGCTGTAAATTTCCCAAATGTGTGCTCCATTTTAATGAATCGTTACAGTACCAAATTCCTTACGTGTCACACTCAACTGAATGCTTACAATGCAGGATCGCAGAAGCGAGATATACTTCGCAGCTGAAAAATTTCCAAAGCAAGTTGCACGTGTGAATACCCATCATTAAAAATTTCCTTGCCATGTAGGTATCAAAACAAGTTTCTGCAAGTTTTAATGACGTAGGTACAGATGCGGATAACAACTAACAAATGTTTCATTCATTCAATAGTTACGAAATCGTAATGTAATTTTCAGGTCTTCGCAACCCTTTGATTCGCGCAGGGAATTGGAAGTGTGAACTGTTAATTTCGCCGTAACTGTCTTATTACTTGTAAACGATTAACTACGTTTTCCGCAGTACATTACTGTTATCTTCAAACCCTAGGCGCAAGAAGTTATGGCACCTACTTATAATTAACCGAGTTTCCAGAACTCTTTAGAGATTCGCCTATTTGTAACGATAATTCTGCATTTAGAACCGAGTATGTTAGATACAATACAACCCCACAGCTTAATTTTCCCTCCGCTATTTTCACAGATCATCTTTTGAAGAGTACTTACTAGAAAAATGGATGGGGTGTCTTGCTGCGCAAACTTTGAGTTCTATCTCTTTCAAATAGTAATACGTTCCCAATTCTCTAGTTTGACGAGTAAAAATTAAAAACTTTAGTAATTGACGTCATAGCTTTTACCCTATACTGCGAAACGTATTCCAAGGCTAAACGAGATAAAAAATAGCGTTTAATACCTTTAATTAGAAAATTAGAACGCGGCTCAAGCGTAAAAATTGCATTACCCCCTGGGCACTTGCGGATTATAAGTATCTGCTTTTACAAATCAGTTTATTTTTAGTAGCTGCATCCGATTTGAAATTAAGATTTGAAACTTTCCCAAGTTGTTTAGAGAGTAGAGACTGGATTAAAAAAAACAACGTTTTACGTTTCCAGCGAGGAAGTTTAAAAGCAGTTTAGTATGTATAAGAAAATTGAACCAAAACACTTGTTCCGCCATCTCGTCTTGCCTTTATTATCAAACTTCTACAAATTCGGTTATTCGTCTAATAAAAACAAAAGACAAAAAAAATAAACATCCGTGCTGTAATTTCAAGAGATGTAAATGTTAAGTCGAGCATCTTCATCGAATTGTAGCCGATCTTGAAGTTTCAACGACTTCTAACTTAAGAGCGGTTTAAATAATTTGTTACGGTACATAACTTTTTAATTGATCTCTTCGCCCGTTAGTAATTTATATGCATGTTACAGGATTTTGTATATTTTTGTAATTTACTGTTAAAAACTCTTTGGCGTGGTATTTCAGAATTCATTAGTAGATTATTCGTTAATCCATTTTCGTATGCTGATCTTGTTTCAGCACTTATTTTCTTGTTAATTAACTCTTCCCTGTAATTTCATTTTTAATTGTTGCAAAAGTGGAAAAACCACTCATATTTCTATAATGAAGTGGCAAAGGGTCTTAAAAGATACATTTCGAAAATGTAGTCGAAACATTTCACAGTTTTGGTTTCAGTTCCTATTAATATTCACAACATGCTAATTAAAACTAATAGTAATAACGTTATTGTTAGTCAACGTTAGAGATCCTTTTAATAGGCTTAAAGTTTAAGAGAACAGCCAGGATTAGTTCTGTTTAACTAACTTTCAGTACAAGTCTGCTGCTCATGAACAGGATATTGGGGTATATAAATGTCCTTTTTGCAGTTGCAGAGAAATAGCAGGTTATGCTTTTAGGAATAGTAAATTAATCGCTACTGCAAAACTTCGGACAAATTCCAGTATAGTATACGACGTATTTGTGCATGGTTTCGCAAAATTCCTTTAACGCATATTCTCTTTGAAAATGCAGGAGTGTCATAAAATGCTTTATAGCCTGGTGTGGAATGAAATATATCAATTTTTGGACAAATTGTGTCATGTAATTTACATGTCTTCACAATAGGAGATGTATATTATATTATATATAGTCCAGAGAATAGACACTTTGAACTTGTAAAATGAGAAGTAGCAATTTTTTTTTACATTTCATATGTCATCTGGTGGATAAGAATCCAAGTTTTTCACCTCCCACTCCTTGTGCTTGTTCTGTACCACCCCTAAATTCCCCATACGTTGGCTGGGAAAAAATATTGTTACCAGAAATTGTTCTTCTGGATCTTGCACCAACTTTTAGTGCCACAAGCAGAATCAGTAGGATAAAAAATTACGCTGGAAGTTGTAGTAGAACAAATATTAATATGAAATATATCGCACAAATATAAACCCCGCTGGACCTAGCCCCCCCCCCCCACCATTGTGAATCAATTTACTGTTTTTTAATTTGATTTTTTATGGATATGAAATTGCGATTCAATGGTGTATTAATTAATATAGATGGAAGTACAAAAAATACTGGAGCAAGCAAACTAAAAGACTGGCAAGAAGGTATACGGTATGTTGAGGAAATAAGAGATCGAAAAGAACAGATAAAGGAGGAAAATAGAAAGGAGGGAACTAAAAGAAGATTTGGATACATTTTAAAAATAATAAGAATTTTTAACAATAGCAGCACGCCACTGGGTTCTAATAAAAAAAAACCTAAGAAAATTTATAAAGGTAAAACAAAATTCTACGCCTAGCTTCAAAATAGTATAAACAAACCGGAGTTATGGATATTAAGGTCCCCGAAACTAAAAGAAAAATTCTGGAATTAAAAACGGAAAACTTTATCGCACGATTTGTCCGTCGTTTAATAGTTGTAAGTGGTAGTATTGTTACAATAAAACTTGTGACGTGAGGCGTTTCTAACTGGCAATAAAATCTACGCATAGATCTTAATATATACCTTGACTAATAAGAATTGTTTACAAAACATTATTGTCTGTTCTTAGTTCAATAGCACGTTTGTGCTGTTCTATTGTATGATCGAGAATAATCAAATTAAACAATTTCATAAACTACAAGGGAATGGACCTTCTATGACTACAAATATACAAAAATCAAAAAAAATTTCATGAAATCCTTTTCCATCATGCTTCATTTTTGATCTGCTAGATTTTGAAATCTAAGAATATTAGTTGGTTATTGTATTTTAGGAGCCCGTGCTCGGTTCTTCCAAAGCTCCAAACTAATTTAAAGCGGAGACAATAGTCATTGAGGCTAAAAATGACTGTTCAATTAGTGACCTTTGAAATAAAAACGTATGCAGGGAATTCGTCCACAAAACTCACTATTTAAGAATTAACCTGCACTATTCTACTCACGGAATTCCTCAAATCAATATTTAGGGGAATATCTGCATCCAGCAAAATATTTTCACATTCTGACACATGGTATTAATACACCAGTTAAGAGGTGAATTTTGAGGAGTCAGTAAAGAGAAAAAGAGTAATGCTTTCCTGAAATGTTACTTTTAGATTTTTTTTCACGAAAATTTCCCGTTGCACCACCGTTTCATTTGAAAAACTCGAATAAATCAACGTCGTTAGAAACTTTGTACCTACTTTCGTGCGTTAAAAGTACTCATATTCATGCTTATACCTACTGTTGTCAATTTACTTTTCCGGTCGGATGACGACGCATCGAGGCACTTAAGGAAGTTCGAAATGCCAAACTCGAAAGTTTATATACGCACCCATTATGAATTTCTACTAAAATTTTGCGTTGACGTAAATCGCTTCAACTTAAATGCGATCTGATATAATAGCAACTGTAGCGATAATAATTTTATTCCATAGAAGTTTAGCGACAAAGTCGAGAGGCCTAATAAACGAGTTCGGGTTTCGTAAACTTATTGTATTTGTACTCCTACTGGTTCAATTATTGACCGCTCGCGACGCCAAGTTTAATGAGCATCGTTTCCAGACCCTCAAACTTTAGTTGATATTAAAAGAAAAATGGTAGTGATCAGGGCACCTGGTTGCAAATAACTCATTAACAGAAAAGAAAAGTTTGAAAGACGTAGAGGCAATTTAGCTTGTTACTGAGTTTTATGTGTGCAAAATAAACACATCTGATTTGAATTATTGATCTAACTTGATAAAAGCCTAATTCTCAATATTGCTCGCATGCTTGCAGCAAATCAACCCCGAGGTTCATGACTATATTAAATTGTCTGTACAATTTTAGATAAAAGCCTTTGACCCTAATCACCCCGTAATTAAAAAAGTGAGTCTCAACGTGGAATTTTCTCTTTCAGAAGCCGTAGCTGAAATAATCGGTGCACCTGATCTGCATCTTAGAGCTGGTTCGGTTTTGCGGTTAGTGTGTGCTTTGAGGGATTCCACCGAAACGCCCTCCTACGTTTTTTGGTTCCACGATCGAAACATGATCAACTATGACATCGGAATAAAGGTCTCGCCTAATCGCACTTCCAGTATACTGGAGATACAAGAGGCGGACCAACGCAACAGTGGTAATTATACATGTACCCCATCAAACGCCGTGCCAGCTTCAATTAATGTTCACGTGCTTAATTCCACAGAGGGTGAGTGCTTATTCACATGTTTATAGTTTACATTTTCTGTTTTATGTGCAGAGGAAAACCCTGCCGCCATGCTGCACGTCAATTGCGGGAATACACTAAATACGATCTCTTCCACTATGTGCGCCATCCTATTTCCGTATATTTTCACTTGTTATAAAAGATGAAATACATGTACGAAATAAAGTAATTTTGTGTAAATATCTGTAAATAGCGTTTATAATTTAAAAGTTGAAGGTATAACTAGCCATACGAAATTTCACGGTATGTTATTCGCGTACCAAATGTATTGTGTTAAATAAACGATATGAATTAGGAAATTGCTTTTTAATGAAGTTCAAACAATTTTACAAATCACAGCGAGTTGCATTAATTAAAAAAACCGCAATATGATTTAATTTAATACACGAAATGAAATTTCTATTTGAAGTAACAATGAGTGCGGCAAAAAACAATGACGATCAATCATGTAGAGCTATATTGATTACGCATTAATTTATATTTCTGGTTTTTTATTTTAGTACGGCATAAATAGCCAGCAATTATAATGATTTACATATTGCGGTTGTATTTATGTATAAATATTTTTGTAAATTAAACACTAATTAAGTGGTAGGTATAAGATGGAGAAAGGAGCAACTCTAAGCTGCTTAATGCAAGGGAAAGTGCCCAAACAAACAAAAAGCACTTTGCTGTAGTGTGTAACTCCATACCTTTAGACACATCAAATTAACGCTACTTTGTAACAAACAAATTTGAGTGCTTAGTGTCTTATGCCAGAAGACTTCATGGCTTATCGGTTTGGGGATTTGCAAATTTTGAAGGTTAGAGGAGAATGTTTTCTGCTGTGTTTGGACCGGGAGTTCCATTTCGTTAATAATTTACAAAGTTAGATTATTTTTGTTTTAAAAGTGCATTAGTACTGTAACGTAAATTTTATTTACTTAAAATTAACTAACAATAAATTTATAACAGTCTTAAAATGGTTTAATTTATGACAGTAATTATTATTTATCACTTACAATTTATAACATAACACAAGTGCATCGAAGCTGGAACTGTCTTGAAACGCAATTCGAGCCATCACAACTTTCCTATCCACACCTGCATACGATTACGAGCTAAAATAAATTACTTTTGTTGCGACATTCGATAGACAATAGGTGGACGATGGGCCTGCACCCATAATTCCGCACTGTAAGGAGTGCATTCAAGGTGAATAAATTGCTTATTTCTAAAGTACACTTGTCATAAACAATTTAATGCTGTTTGTATAGGTATTTTTCCTATACATTCAATATCACACCACGGTCCCCATCATCTATTAATGAAATCATCCTTAATCTCGTAAACCTTTCATCTCCCACACGAGCCGACTTCCAATCCAGCACCCCTACATCACGTCGTCGTATTACATCTACCAATCTCTTTCTAGCATCAGGCAAGCGCAAAACGTACGTTGAACGTCAAATACATTTCAAAGACCTCGTGGATCCTTCCCGAAAATATACATTGTTGTTTCCCTATGGTGCGTTCTCCCTGGGACACACGGTATAGTTTGCAGATATGTCTGTGAAGCACAAGAAATTTTGGAATTGTGGACATCGCACTATAATTGAACACTGTTCACATAGATCCTCAAATGTGTTGTATCCAAAGCACTAAATAAAAATTACCCAACGCGTTTAGATTGGGTACGCCACAAGTGAATTAACTTTCACTAGACGGTAAGTGTTTCTTCATGGTCGTGTATAGTACAAAACTTTATTTTAATGCGCAAGCCATATAAATCATTATCAAACTTACAATTATGAATTAAATTACGTCAAGTTCATGTCGTTTCCATGGAAACAATATTGTAGTCTGTTCTGCACCTCATTTTATTTCGTGCTCCGAATCCAATTTTTAATAAGAATGAGAGATGTCATTAGAATGTACAATGATTTGTTTCGGTTAAAGTGATCACTATCTACCGTTGCCGTTAAAAAACGACTTCGTCTCATTCAAACCTATTGAAATGTCAATTTAACATAAAACATAAAAGTAATGAATTTGAGTTTCTTAAAAAACATACTACTTATTCACGATATATTCATCATTGCAAATTTATGAATGTTAAGGAACAACTAGCATTATAGCTTATACGTCAGATCGTGAAATACTCACAATTAATCGTCAACAATATTACCCCATGAGCCCAACAATTCCTCCCTCCCCTCCACCACCGAGGATTGATCGAGAATGAAAAAGTGCCTACAATGTTTATCACGAATCAGATTGCCACGCTTTTCATACAAAAGAGATCAAGTTACTAAATGGTAGCTCTTAATGAAAGGGTTTGAGAATAAATAAGTACTTAATCCTTTAATTGATTCAAATAAACTGGAGCAAGGTAGACTTACTTAGCGACGTACGAACACCAGTTAACTTTTCTTTTCGTTTACGTCATATTTAGACCGAAACGCGCAAAATCATGTGATGACTGTTTTTCGATATGAAAATAACTACGATCTCATGATTTAAGATTCGTATTATAAATAGTAATGCCCTAGTGCGCTGACCGCTGTCCCAATTTAGAAATAAATCCCCTTTTTCACCCCCGGTAACACCTTATGTGGCTTAATTTTCGTCGATTTGGGAATGAATCTCCCGTAGTTTCACTTTATTGCTGTTTAATGTCTTTACTTTGTTTTTATTGCAATCGTTAAGAGCCCAGATTTTAACGTTTTCGAGAAAGAGAAAAAATACGACTGCCTTAGAATAACGAGCCCTTTTTCTTGGAAGTTAGTTCACGACACGCATTTAATGTTGACTGGTTGTTTTTTTACAATTTTTTAGAGTAGAAACTTGAGGAAACTCCTTAACCGCAGATTGTCTATGATATGGATGATGAAAATGAATACGTGCGTTCAAGATTTTGTAACACATACAAACCGTAACATCAATAAACGATAATTCCGTGTTTTTAAGTTCACGAGTTATGCAAATTAACGTTATAGAATAGGAAATTAAAATAAATTATTAACGTCTGGATTTTAGAGTTAAACTTTCATTATTAACTCGGTAACTAGAACGTAAGTTAACATTTCATTTTTAGTATTTCTGTTAGTTTTATTTAAACGTTATATTGTACTTATTCCATATTATTGCTTTAAATTGCCAAGTCGTGGTCAGGATTCAGCAATTACAAATTACTTCTTTTATTGCAAAATTATTTTAAATTAATTTATTAATCGAAAAATGAAAGTCTCACACATCTCCAATTCTGCATTGGAAAATAACTTCACCACAGTTTCCTTGAAGTAATTCAGAATCTTCTCTTATTTCCTCACTGTTTTACACAAATGCCTTTATCCCCGCATGAGTAGCCCGATGTCTCCCGGGAAATGTGGTGAGAGTGGACACTAAAGTGTCCTTATTGTTCTTCCAGAATTTTCATTAGTTTTCTTCTTATATTAACATAAATTACGTCTAAACCGTTTCCTTGTCATTTCCTCGTCATACATTTATTCTTTATACATAATTTCCTCTTGCTCCCGCTAAACCTCCAGAACTTTGTGAAAATTTCAGCTCTGGAAACGCTGAAACATTCTTGAGCACGATACAGTAAAGGCTATAAACCTAAACCATTTAGAAAACTCTGAAGGCTATGTGGGATCCTTCAATACTGAATGTGCCGCTCATAAACACTTAAAAGCTCTCGTAGTAAAGGTCTATAACAGGTCTCTTTGGAGGCTTCAAAGCCTTTGTAAGATTTACAGACCCTCCAAGATTAATACTTCCAAAGTTCGGACTTTAAAGGTTATTACATGTATTTGATTAAAGCTGATAAACGCTTAAAGGCCATTAAGGTCCACAAAAGCTTTTAAGCGTCCAGCTCTTAATGAGAGCAGGGAATATCAAGGACGCTTTTGGAAGGCCGTTTGAAGCATTTGGAAGGTTTTTCACATATGTGGGAGCAGGAGAGAGGTCGGTAATTGATTACACATTACACAATAATAAATGAAAAAATACTGGAAGAAATAGATGAATTTAAGATAGAAAGAAGGATAGAATCGGATCACCAATCGATTGGGATTGGGAAATTTGGAATTGGGAAGATAAGAAATGAACAGACGCAAAGACGAAGGGAGTTATGCACAAGAGAAACGGAACAAGGAGGAGAAATATGAGGGAATACAGAAGAGGAGTGGAATAATATAAAGGAGAGTATTAAAAAAGCAATAACGTGGAAAGAAGAGGGGAGCGAAAAAAAGGAAAGAGTGATGGGATAAAGAGTGTACAGAATAGAGAAATAGATATAGAAAAAATATGGAGAAAGAAAGAAGAAGGAAAATGGAGGAGAAAGAGGTGAGAGAACAGAAAAAAGTACAAAAGAAAATGTAAGGAAAAAAATGGAGAAAGAGAATTAATAAGAACAAATCAGGGAAATAAGAACAGAAAAGGATTCTTAGAATGTGCTAAACAGAGGAAAAGAGAAAAATAGAACAAGTGGGAGGGTAATACAACTATAGGAAAGGGAACAACATTTTGTCAAGATACTGCAAGGCAAGCAGGAGAAAGGGGAGGCTATGGAAGAGGTGAGAAGAGAGGAGGTTGAAGGAGATGAGATAACGAGGGATGAGAAATCTAGTAAACAAGATATGGACAGGAGAGAGTAATTGTGCCGATCTTCAAAAGAGGGAACAAAGATTCTGTGAGAATCTAGGGGAATTACTATAATGAGTACGGCGTATAGAATCTATGCAATGTTACTGAACGAAAGACTAGAGAGAGAAATGGTAGAGAAGAGGATTAAAACAGGTATGTCCACTTAGCCTAACCGTATTTAATCTCTACTTAAAAGACATGGAAAAAAGCATATGCGGACGACGCAGTGATCATGCAACAGAGGTAGAACAGAGTAGAAAGGTAGGTATTGAGCAAGCAAAGAAATGGACCTAAATGTGAAAAGGTGAAGATGATGAGACTTGAGAATAATAATAATAATATAATAATAATATATTTCATGCATTGTACATCTACTTACAATCGTCATAAATCTAATCTGTATATGTATAAGTAATAATTATGACAGGTTATCCTTACTGTAATTAATAAATTCCTGAACAGAGTAAAAAGCATTTGCAATTAAGAACTTTCTTAGTTTGTCTTTGTATGATGTAAAATCACTTTGCTTGATTTTGTCAGGTAAACAGTTA